AGTTTAAGGCACAGAAAATCTGTTTTAATATATGTATATACGTAAAAAAGCAAATTTAAAGTTAAAATAATGTGCAAACATATAAAAGAATTAATTTTCGAACTAATTTACAATATCATTTAAATTCAGATTGCATAAGTAAATCAAGTGCAAAACCAAAACATGAAAATAAATTCATCAATTTAGCAAATTAAAATTAATCTAATTTTTTTTTTAAATGCATAAGTAAATGACTGTTGAGCAGGCAGGAGACAGACTTATCAAGGGGAAGTTGCCCCCTAACCTAACTCTTCAATTACTCAATTCATGTTTCCTCATTCATGCAAGCAAAGGTAAAAGTCAAAACCAAAAGTAGTGAAGAATGTCCAACAAGAAATACCAACTAAGTGGTACCTTGAGAAATTAGCAATTAAATTAAAGGTATAAAGGAAAATACCAATGATGAAGTATTTTGAGAAATAAGCAATGAAAAGTTTAGTATTAAATTAAACTTTTTTAAAAAATTAAATTTTCCAGACAAATTAATTTAGAAATCGATGCATTTTAGAAACCCTTGTTTACAGAAATCTCCCCGACACGAATATGCATATTAATCAGAAAGAAACTAAAAAGGAACTAGGCAAATTAATATAAACCAATAAGTAATTAAAAAGAACTAATTCATAATTTTTAAAAAACAAATATATACTTAAAAATAATTACATATCTAGAAAATACTTAAAAACTACATAAAAATATTTTAAAAAGTAAATAGTAAGTTTTAATACTAACTTGCCTACCATATAAGCGTTGGGGTGTGCAAAAGTATTTCCTGAGTGATGTAAGTTTGTACTGCAAATTATATAGATGGCGCTAATGTAAGTAAAGTTGAGTGCCAAGCTGCTATCTTTAATATTAAATTATTTAAATAATATAAATCTAGAAAAAATCAAAGAATATCCTAAAAGTATGTAATTCAAGTTTTAATTTCCTTGATAAGTCTGTCTCCTGCCTGCTCAACAGCATTCAAAAAAAAAAAAAAAAAAAAAAAAAAACAAAAAAAAAACAAAAAAAAAAAAAAAAAACAAAAAAAAAAAAAAAAAAAAAAAAAAAACCAAAAAACAAAAACAACAAAAAACACAAAACAAAATTCCTTATGCATTTAAAAACATTTTTTAGATTAATTTTAATTTGCTAAATTGATGAATTTATTTTCATGTTTTAGTTTTGCACTTGATTTACTTATGCAATCTCAATTTAAATGATATTGTAAATTAGTTCGAAAATTAATTCTTTTATATGTTTGCACATTATTTTAACTTTAAATTTGCTTTTTTTACGTATATACATTTTTGTTAAAATTTAAATGTCATTCCTTGCAGCAAAGGCGCAAAGAATTAATTAAATGTGTATTTATTTAATGTATTTATTCAATATATATATATATATATAACTGTATAAATATATTAATAAATGCAGTGAAAGAAATTGCAGTACATATATATTTATATCCTTTTTAAATCGATCCCACCAGCTGCCGGTTAAATCAATGAACACTAGAAGTTCGGTCCAAGGTTGGAATCCCGCGAACGGGCTGGTTGCATGGACGTTTTCGTGGTTTTGCCATGTGTTACGTGTATACGAGCTAGTTTTCCTTAGAATGTCCTCCACGAAGGCAACCCTCACTTTAGGCAGATAGCCCTCGAGGCTTTGCCGTAATAACATAAAACCAAAACTAAGCACTTTTTAGATATGAATAAATATACACAAAACTGATGTAATATCTAAAAGTAGAGCACATTAAAAAATCTGATATTAATTATAAATCATATTAAATCTTTACAAGCATTATAATATTGACAAGAATTTAACCGAAAATTTTACAGGAATTTGTTTTATACAGGAGATTCTAGAAACTATTGGAAATTGACATTGATATCGGTACAGTTAAAACTACTTAAGTAAATTTTTTAACTCAAAGCAATTTAATGTAAATGTTGAATTTAGGATGTGCATAGTTTGAATTATATACTGCATATTCTTTAATGCATGTCTAATGTATTACATTTTTATACACTACAAATTCAAATAAAAGTAGAAGGAAATACATTATAATTTAAAACACAAAATTTGAAAATTTATAAATTACTCATCAAAAATGAAATTAAGTACATTGATATATACATTAGTTTAACAATTACGATTTTAAATGAAAAGTATGCACCCCTTCTTTATATGTGAAATAGGAAAACACCAAACATATTATTTTCACTAAAATTTAATTAAGGCATTGGTAATGTAGAATAAATAAATAATATAGAATCATTAGCATTAGCATCAAATGCGTTATTTCTATAGCGAAATGTTCGAGTTTTTAACAAATCTTAATTAAAATATCTATTACGTACACTTTCAAAAACAATCCGTGACCTCCGCCATCCTCAGTTTAGCTCTAAAACGACAGTCAGAAACTTAAACGGCAGCTGTCCAGCTGACGGAAAAATTTCCGACGCGTCGATCTCTGTAATGATCGAGACGATGACACCAGATTCGCTCTCTGTCGAGTAGATCGCAAAAAACGACCCGTTCTTCTATTTCGACGGTGTCCAGACTAGGGCCCAAAAACATCACACCACAATGCCAAAGATTTCATCATTCATCAGATAATTGTTTTTTCTTACCACGATGTGTTAAATGTGCAAAAAATCATAAAACATCAGACTGTCCAACACCTGGAAAAATTGAAAACCCAGTTTGCGCAAATTGTTCTAAAAATCATCCAGCTTCTTATCGCTGTTGCGAAAAATTCCCCCAAAACACACCTAGAAATAATAATAGTTTACCTAATTTCACTTTCACTCCAAAAAATACAACTTCACAAGCAGCTATATTCACCCAAGGCCAAAGCTACGTACAAGTTACTTCAAACTACATCCAAACCACCAAAAACCATAATAGCAATAGCCACTCTGTTAAGATCCAATATGGAACAGCTAACAGCAGCAGATACACTTATGGAAAAACTATTTATATTATTCAACATTTGTGAAGAAGCTAATATATTTAATAGCTAATATGCTTAGGGAGGAAAAAAAACTGAAAAAATTTTCTAAATTCAAATACACCTTAAAAACTCCAAAAATCATTGCTTGCATGGGACCCCTCAGCTTTTCAATCTCTAAGTACTTCTCTCTACTGCTATTGGACGTTCCTGTCACATGACCAGCCACAATGTTAGATCAGCCAGCCTCTTCTCCGTCCAGTTCCAGCGAGGACGCCTACAATAACTGACCATATTCCTCTCATCGCAAGGTTCCTAACCGTTTACTGCTGATATGCTTCAACTCTCCGGCTACACATCTCCTAGTGCCTGTACCATCATCACATTCAACTTAAGGACTAATGCCATATTTTTGCTTTATTAAGATATGCCTTACAGCACCGTATGACTTTAATGTTCGAAAAGTGACGCAAGTTCGCTAGGGATGGGTCTCCCCAGTCCAGGCGCCCTTTGAAAAGAACGTATATTTCACGGATGGGATCACTCCCAACACAATCAGAATTATCGCACACGATTACTCCTTCCTGATTTTGATTCGATTCAGAATCAAAAATTCCTTCTGAGGCATAAGAAGTTCTTGGCCCTGAAATGGGCAATTTTTCTTGATTTTGTGCAGAAGATATAAGTAATCGAAGCAAACTAAAAAAAAGAACTGCATCAGCAATCACATGCTCCCAAAGCAAAGTAAATAACAGTAAATACGGAGCGCCTTTCCGGTAAATGACGACATGCGCAGTAATCTGCGCAGATGTTCAGGGAGGAAACTAGATTCTGAGGGGCTAGACGCTTATAGCAATTTGAAGTCTACATTCGTCTCCATTCGACAAAGGCTGCCGTCCTGAAAAAATGTGTACTGCGCGTGCGTGAAGCATAAGGCCCGCAGAACGGAGACGCTACTCTATTTGAATATATTGCCATTCTGAGACTCTTAATGTTACAAGAAGGAAAAGAAATAACCTGAAGGAAAACATAAAATTGAGGAGAAGAACAAACTTCTCTTTGAAGTAACAAGGACTCTAATTTCGAGAGGAACAGGTGCGGGCGTCTGAACAGCAGAGGAAAGAAAAAGCCTGTGCTTATACCAAAAGAGGAAAATCTGTGTTTTTAACTTTTTAGAAAGGTAAATCTTTGTGGATGTGAAAAGAGTTCGGGAAATCCAGTTTACTGATGAAGAAAGATTTTGGATAACTCTGTCAGACTCAGAGTCAAAACTACCATTAAATTTCCAAAAATGATTAGCTATCGAAGATTTATTTCTTTCTTATTTCAGTTTCCGATAAAGAAACATTCTAATTTTATCCTGTTTTAACATTCTTTTAGTTCGGCCGATATATCTTAAACTACATTGAAAAAACATGCCGTAAATTCTCCAAGAATTAAAGTCAGGAATGAAATCATCAGTAAAATCAAATTGAACGTGGATTTTACTGGAATCTATCAATCATTAGAATCATAATTGATAGGAGAGAAAACACCTTGACAATTGAACTTCTAGAGAATCCGAGTAGTAACTGATCCATGGAGTTTAGGAACAGAAAGAAACAAGATGCCGTTTCTGTCTTGTAGCATATCTTGCCAATGTGGTTTGAGATATATCTGCCAAACTAAAAGAACATTACAATTTAGTATCAAGAAACACGAATCTTGCTTCCGAAAAGAAGGAATACACGTGTCTTGGATAGTTAACCATTGTTGGAAATTTAATCATAGTTTTGTGTTTGGGTCTGGAAGAATTATCGAAAAAGCTTCTTCAATTGGTGAACTGGAAATCCTTGAATCTTTACACATTCACAAAAATTTATCTTCTTTAGTTAATAATGCTAAGCGTTATCTGGATAAGGTTATCCGCGTTATCTGGATAAGGTCTCCGAACCTTATCCCGTTATCTCTTTAATATTTACATTGATAATGTTTGATTGATTTTTTGCCCTGCGGGCAGAAAGACTTATCATGTGCAAAACAAGACATTTGTCTCCATTGTGTGTCTTCTTATCCGTCTGCAACCTTTGAATTAACCTGGTGGTGTCTTTTCGCTGTTTACCTGTTAATTAATAACATGTCTAAAAACACAACTTCGTCAGCTTTCAGGAAAATTGATGTAGATCAATACAATGATGATTATTATAAGGAAGAAGAGGGAAGCGAACCACATTCACCACCCACCGGACCTGATGAACAGGAAATAGTGAATTTAGTGAATCAGTATCCTTTTAAGTTATTCATTATATATTTATTCATATATATAAATATAAGCATTTTAATCGATATTGCTAATTTAAAGCCAGTTCTTATTTTGTCTAAATTCATAAAAATTTCTGAAAGTTTCAGTGATACTTCATGTGGTAACAAATTGTTAACTGAGTATTGTATGGAATTTCGAAAAATAAGACTTGGGATTCAACAATGACAATGTAAGAGTTATAGGTGGGTTTTCTTCTGCAAAGGATCCGTTGGCGCCGGTGCGTATTTATTCGCCAAGCTTGCCAACGGTTATGATTTTAGCGGTGTTAAGTTGCAGGATATTTATCATAAGGAAGCAATGATTTTAGCGGTGTACAGTCAAATTATAAGATATTTAGCATACAGAAGTAAAATAAATAGGTTAATAGTGACATTTAGCGGTGTATAATTAACCTGAGAGGACGCGCTGTAGCATATAACACGAGAACTGGCGTCGCAATTAAATGACATACAAATGAAACATATTCAGGCTAATCTTTGGAATATGGTAACAGATAGTTTGGCGACATTTTGGTAAGGCAATAAAGATTACTAGCTAGGACTTTAGCACTGTACATGGATAAAGTCAAGAGTGTGCACAATGCCATTTTTGTGCAATTCTGGGATGTTTTTTTAAGTGAAAATAGGTCGACGCGTACATGGGTACCACGTATGTGCAATTCTTAAAAATGCGGCAAGCAGTGGGCGATTCTGCACTTTCTCCCAATTTCGCACCTAATCTTCGTCATGATTAAGCAGTTTTGTTCCATAAAAGTCGTAGCATAAGCGTAATTCAGCTAGCAGATTGTTAGAAAAAAAAAAAAAAAAAAAAAAAAAGCCTTTACTTCGTGAAAACAAAATGGCGTCCAAAAAAGAACTAGCAAATTGCTGTAGCAGGGTTGGTCGGCAAATTTTCGCCAAAAAATCGCCAAGTTACCATAATCCGAAGATTAACCCATATTCATTACTAAATCGTACATTTGAAACATTAATTAGTACTATTCGGTTTTGAGGGCTGTAATTGCAGCAAAAATGTAAGCACAAAAGTGCCATATCTAGCAAACGCACCCATTTAACAGCACGCCAAATCTAGCATACGTGTTGATTTCAGATTGCGTAAGTTTATATAGTTCTATATTTCTTAAGATGCCATTGACATACTAGTTTATTTATTTTTTTTTTTTTTTTTTTTCAAAATTTACTTGCTGATAGCTTAAAATATTTTATTTTGAAACAACTGCCTTTTTCATAATAAATATGACTATGCCAAGAATCTTTAATAATATTCAAATCCTTTAAAGTAGTATTGTAAATAAAACTGGAAGAAACATTATACATCTTGTTATCTTTCAAGATTCATTCAAACTTTCATTATTTACTCAAAGGAGGGTTTACTAACTTTGGTGACCCTGGGAACACATAAAAGTATTTTGTCATCTCAGAGAGCCAATAATAATTTTTATTTCATTCTAAATCATCTGTTGTGTATAAACACCTATCATCCTCTGAAAAGTAATTGTTAAAATGCATTGAAAATATCAAATTTTTAATCATGAAAACTGATTTAATTCCCATTATTTTAGGTAAAAATAACAGTAATAAAAATAAAAACTTAATTATTAAAAATGTATATTATTGCCACCCACGGAGATTTTAGGAGCCCTATGGTTCTGTGTGTTTCTTAAAAATTACATAAGAACACAGCCATACTATTCTAAACAGCTGTGTTATCAATTATTATACACCCCCACCGGCTAGCCAGCAGAAAAACGGAGCCCTGAACAGACGAGAAATATTCTTTGTCTAAGGCAAGCGTAGAACCAGGTTGCTCAATTCGCCGGGTTGCCAGTTTTGAACTTTTATCGCCACTTTTGGCAATGTTTACATGTAACGGATTCTTTGCGGAAGTGCTTCCTTATAAATATAATGCATTATATATGTTTCAAAAGAATAAATTGAATTTAAATACAAATTTAATTAATTCTTTTGTGCCATTGTTGCAAGGAATGAAATTTAAATTTTAACAATTATGTATAGACGTAAAAAGCAAATTTAAAGTTAAAATAATTTTAAAATGTGCAAACATATAAAAGATTTAATTTTTGAACTAATCTACAATATCATTTAAATTCAGATAGCATAAGTAAATAAAGTGCAAAACCAAACCATGAAAATAAATTCTCCAATTAGCAAATTAAAATTAATCTAAATTTTTTTTAAAAAAATGCATAAGTGAATGATTGTTGAGCAGGCAGGAGACAGACTTATCAAGGGGAAGTTGCCTCCAAACGTAACTCTACAATCATTCAATTCGTGTTTCGTCATTCATGCAGGGTAAAAGTCAAAACCAAAAGTAAATACATAATGAAGAATGTCCAAAAAGAAATACCAATAAAGTGGTACCTTGAGAAATTAGCAATTAAAATAAAGGTCTAAAAGGAAAATACCAATAATGAAGTATTTAGAGAATTAAGCAATATAAAGTCTAGTATTAAATTAAATGATTGATAATGGTTAATGAGTATTCTTTTGTACCCTTCTCTCATATATATATATATATATATATATATATATATATATTAATGGCAGCTAACATCTGTACCCTTGAAGGCGAGATTAAATCGTGTCATGGGTTTATAGGTTACGTAATATGTTATGTTTAGCAATTAATTTGGAATACATCCTGGTGTAATAAACATCAATTATTTCACTATTCGTGTGGTAGTAATTACAAATCATCTTTGTAAGCAGAGAAGTTAAGAGTTTGAATAATCAAAGGCCTGCTGTATAATTTATGTTGTATTTTATCATCCTTATGACCTTAAAATATGCAAAAAAACATAGCGATTTTTTTTTTTTTTTGTAGATTTTGTAATAAATCTATAATGTGGAATGTTTTATATCTCTTAAGATGTTGCTATTACGAATAGTGACAAATAGATCATTCATATTCCAAAGAATGTGGACTTCTGAAATATTATTTCAGTGGTAGCCAATTTCCAAGTTTTGGGGCCTTGGACTTCATAGTGTGTGTGCAATAATAAATACTGATTTTAGAATTCTTGTAGTAATTTCATTTAACTATTATGAAAAGAACAAATCAAGTATTAAATGTAAGACTGCATAAACAGATTCAGAATACTACTGTAATATATTTGGAAAGAATACTTATGTTCTTAAATGCAAAGGCTTTTAGATACAATACAAGTTAATATAAATGTGGGCTGTCGTGAGAAAATCAAATATATCTAAATCAGGAGTTCTCAACCAAAACAGATTTCATTGTTTCAGGGGAATGCAATCAGCCTTTTATTTACCTGTTGCAGATTTAGTTTTTAGTTTATGAATGTAAATTTTTTTATTACTTTATCCAAGTTTTGGTATTTATCAACATTTTCTATACATTTTTGTTTACTTTATAAAGCAAATTAAAAAGTAATCTAAATTTTTTTAAAAAAATCATATTGTTTGAATTTTAGAAAAAGGAGAAAGCACAATTTTTGTCTTTGGTATCGTGATTTGGGTCTAGCCCTATGTTGAACTTTTCATTTATTCTGGCACAATTTAGGCATTTTATTGTTTTATTTTTACAGATCTTTTTTTGGTGGTGCTCTGACCCACATCCTGAGCACTTTATTTTCTCTTTACAGTTTTTCGCTGAGTGGTTAAAACTGAAGCATTTTTGACATTGGGCGACTGATAGGAAATGCTCTTGCATTGTTGTGTGTCTATTGGGCATTTATTTTGTGCGTTTTGATAATGGTTTTGAAAGTATTGGGTGTCTGTTGACTATATGTTTACTATATCGCGCTTTCATCGAGAATAGGATTTCTATGTTTGATTCCGCTAGTTCTGGGTTCTGCGATATCAAGTGTTGTGCGAGGTCTTCCTTTTTCTAGATTTTCGTCCACGTTTTAAAATTATTATCTTGGGATTTATTAGTGCAGGTCTTTTTGTCTTAACCTGTTCTGCCAATTTTCTATTTTTTCGAATTGCCTCTTTCATTATGTCGAGGTCGTCTTTTTTAGCTACTTTTATCAGTACCTTGTTAATTTTTTTTACTCCTTTTATGCCTACCTTAAACTTGATGGGATCTATATATTTAACTAGTTTCTCTTTGACTTTTTCTGATTTTAAGGCTTTTTTAGGATAAACTAGTGTGACATGCTCTTGCTCTCTTTTGGATCGAGATTGTGATATATTTCTTATTTTACTAACCGTCGCATAGGGTGTTTTTTCTTGGATATCTATTCCTCTCACATAGTCTTTTATGTCTTGAGTGTTTTCTAATTGTCCCTGAAGTTTTGCAGTTTTAAAGTTTATATTGGTAACTAAGTTGAGTAGGGTCATAAAGTGATTCTTTATTCTTTTAACTACTTTTTTAGAAATAGCAATTAAAGTCTAGATGCAATTAAAGTTCATTTAGATCAATTAGGTATTCATGTGCCTGTTTAACACAATTATTGTCCATGGAAGAGCTGTTCTGTTCAGCTGTTGTGTCCTTCACTGTTTTAAGAATCTTAGCTAACTGCAAGTCGCTGTCAGGGCGTTTATGCCTCTTTGATTCTGTGATTTCTTTATGTTGACATGCCATGCCCACTTTGTACTTGTACTGCATGGACAGGTGAGTGGGGAGAGTGTTTCTAACTTCTAAGGGACCACTGCATGAACAGTTATGGGCCCAACTTATGCTGTGGGTGCTTTTCACTGTGCCTGTGGAGCTACATAAGACCCCCTTGTGAGAGATCCCCTAGACCATGGTAAGGTCTAGCTCCACACGGAAAGCACACAGCAAAAAGACCACCCGTTTCACGATTACTTCCACGTACTGGACGGCACCCGACTTCTTGGGAGATATGCTACACTAACGCAATTTTCTATGAGACAATGACGCACAAAGTTCAATGAACAAAAGAATCTACTGTGTTAATCGCTTCCCCCTAGAGGAACTTCTGCAGTAAATGAAAAAAAAAAAAAAAAAC